TCTGCCACTTGTACTGTCGTTACTATTAACATTCTATATGCTTCTATTATTAAGGGTGTAGAACATTAAGAAGGAAATAACGAATTTGTTCCAACTGATTCTTATAATGGAGTCAAAAGTGCTCTCATACCAATTTTTTTCGTAAACGTTTCTTTTGGTAGTCGACAAATAGAAGACGTTGTACACTAATTTTCAGCCTATTATCTCAACCAGAAGGATAATTGTAGGGTAAATTCGAATTATTAGTTTTTGTTCTATTTTCCAAATTTAATGGCACATAAAAATTGTGTTAAAATTCTGAAACATTTTTGGCATAGCAGTGTATAGCTGAGAATTTTTGGAGATTATTCCGTTCCAAATTCTTCGCGTGAAAAAAGAAAACTCCAAACAAGTAGAAGAGCGTAGATTTCGCATTGAAGCTATCGCGTGGCAGTTCTTTAATTTTTACATTAGCGGACATATTAGACAACTAACTTTTAGATGCATTTTAAGCAGAATCGTAATGAATATTTTTACCTTTTGGAACGAAAATATCTCCAAAAATTCTCAATCGTACACTGCTATGCCAAAAATGTTTCAGAATTTTATCACAATTTTTACGTACCATTAAATAGAGAAAATAGAACAAAAACTGATCATTCGAATTTACCTTATAACTACCTTTTTGGTTCAGATAGAGGGCCGAACATTGGTGTACAATGTTTTCCATTGGTAAGCTATGGAAGAAAACTTCCTTAAGAAAAATCTGTGTAAGGGTACTTTTGGCCTCCTTATCCTGCTATATCCTTTACGTAGAAGACAATTCTCAGAACTATTTCTGGTTAAGGATTAAAACTACATTTATCAGAGTATTTCAGAAACCAAAAGGTATCGGACAAATTATTTTTACATTGCGTTCTTTTAAATCAGGATTCCGATTACAACAAATAAAGCAATGAAATGATTTATTTAAACAATACTATTAAAAGTATCAATCGTTTTAGGACTTTTCGTGCTAAATATTAAGATGTTTTTTATATCTTTGTTTCTATATAATATTGATCTTATATAATAATTATTCTTTGTTTTATACCGTTTGCCGAGTGCAGAGGAATTGTAGAAGCAAGAATTGAACAAAATCACCCTTTTGCCTGTGACTTTACTCTTCTTTAGAAATACTTCTGTATTTAAAACATGTGAACATACTTATTTTTTTAAATGCAACTGTACTTTTTTTAAGCTAAATAGATTCTCTTGAAGGTTTTCATTTATTAACATTGACGTGTATAAGTTTCATATGTTCCCTTCTAATTCAATCATTATCCGTTTCAAATGGACTTATTTTCTGTGCTAAATCCGACGTTACAATAATATTAAAATTTAATATTATGCACATAACCTTAGAAAGTAGTAGAATTTTAATGTAGGTAGATTCTTTCCAATTTTCATAAATACAAGCTGTACGAATTCATATTTAACACTAGTACCTATAAAATGAGTCGCAATGACCCATTCCTTCATTTTTCTTTTACAATTATTAAAAACATAACAGATCCTTCTTTGAGAAATTATCAAAGAAATTGATCTAATGAGACGCAAACTGAATCTGAATTTTCTTATAGAAAAATTTAAAAAGGTCAACTTCACTGCTCGGTAGTGAATTTAATTTGGATCGGAAGTTAATTTGAATTCTATTATTGTCGCACAGTTATTTCCTTTTGTAAGAAAATCCACTTTCCATGCAAGGTTTTGCTTAAGTAATGCTTGCGATATGAAAATCGGACACACATTTATAATGTATTTACCTTTCTTTTCAAGGGAACTCCTTGTTAGATTTTATAAAAGCACTGGAGGGTATAAGCCTCACAGAATAATCCTTTATCGAGATGGTGTCTCGGAAGGCCAGTTTCTGCATGTATTGCAGCATGAGTTAACTGCCATTCGCGAAGCTTGTATGAAACTTGAAGATGATTATAAACCTGGTGTAACATTCATTGTAGTACAAAAAAGGCACCATACTCGTTTATTTTGCGCAGAAAAAAGAGAACAAAGTGGAAGAAGTGGAAATATTCCCGCAGGTACAACAGTTGATATTTGTATTACACATCCAACTGAATTTGACTTCTATTTGTGTAGTCATCAGGGAATTCAGGTAAACTTTTAATAATAGTTTGAATTGTATTGTATCTTATATGGTGTAAATGTTAAATTATTTTTGGCATAGGGAACTTCACGACCATCGCATTATCACGTTCTTTGGGACGATAATCACTTTGAAAGTGACGAGTTACAATCTCTTACTTATCAATTGTGTCATACATATGTTAGGTGTACAAGGTCTGTCAGTATACCTGCACCAGCATATTATGCTCATCTTGTAGCATTCCGAGCCAGATATCATTTGGTAGAAAAAGAACATGATAGGTAAGTAAAACTTTCAGATAGCACACGATTTTGTAATTATAATATAAGTATTAATTCATTATTCACACGCATATACGAGAAAAATTATTGAAATATTGTAGTCTTTAGGAACAGTATACAAATAGAGCTCTTCACATTGATTTTTAAAAGCTATGTGTGTCGAAAATCATTAACTGATAATTACTGCATTATAAGATGCAATAAAAGATATTTTAGAATCATAAAAAGCGTATTCTACTTTTACTTCTGTGATGAAAAGGTGTTACAATTATATTATATACAAACATACGCCCGA